GGGTGAGGGCTCTGTGTCCTGGTGGCAAAGAAGGCCCTCTGGGAAGTCAGTGGCTGGAGATTAGATTTCATGGGGTCACAGGAGGAAAGGAGGGGGAAGGATCCAGGTGTGGTTTGGGGCAGGGCCAGGCCAAGAGCAAGGGTCTCAGAATCATTACGACAATAATAAGAACAGCTGTCACTTATTGAGCACCTACCAAGTGCTGGGCACTGTCCTTTGTGCTTCATATATTTATATTTATACTGTTGTATTTACACACCATTATGTGTTAACTATTTATATTGTGTCTATGAATAACAATTATATGGATTGTTCATAAGGCTTTATGTTAGTTATAAGTTACTGTATGTAGCAACCTCATTTTCCATCACCCTATTGAAGGTAGTAGGAAACTGAAGCTCAGAGAGGCAAGTTCACTTGCTCAAGGTCACTCAGCAAGCAAGTGGCAGGGTCCATATGTGAACCCACTTCCAAGTGTTTCCAGCGTTTGGCTCTTAATAAGAGCATGACCCTGCCCAAGGTGGAAGACACAGCATCTGAGGGAACCCAGCAGGGAGCCGGGTAGCTCAGTAAGCACCAGCAACAGCCAATTGTTGATGTCGTGTTGTCATGATGGCACACGTTTACTGAGCCGTTACTATGTGCCAGGCACCGCACTAAGGGTTTTCATAATAACCATGATAGCGAATGCTCATATAGCACTTAGCAAGGGCCTGTCTCTACTCTGAGTGCTGTTATATGGATTAATCCGTTTACTCCTGATACCAGCATCCTGGGGTATAAGTGTTTGCATTGATGGTATTGTCTTGAGGTGCAATCGTGTGCACAGGTTCCTGGAGGAGCTGGGATTCGGACTCAAGCAACCTGGCTCCATGGGCTGTTCTCCTAACCCACATTCTATCATCCCTTGTAATCTTCACGACAATCCTATGGTGTAGGAAGAAATAGTACCCATTCTACAGATGAGGAAACTGAGGCCTTGTACTCACCCACAGAGCCACAGAACTCGTCTGTCTGATCAGCACATCACTCTCTTGACCCTGTTCTTACCTGGCAGGAGACTGGAAGCTCCAAAGAGCCCCTGAAGGGCCTTGGCCAGGCTCCCAGATGTCCCTGTCCAGCCCTGGGGTCCCACCTCGCTCCCCTTCCTGTGCCACTCCTTAATTTTTCCTTTGGCTTGTTTCATGTCTGCTTGCTGATTGGTAAGAGCTCATTGTGTATTATATGAACTGACTCTATTTTTTTCCCTAGAAGAGTTTTTTTGTTTGTTTTGCTTTGCTTTTTGCCATACAAAGCTTTTAAGTTTCGTAACAGCTCAATAGGTTACCATTTATTTTATAGATTCAAGATTTCCAACTTTGGTTAAGAAAGTCTCCTGGCTCCTGGGGATTGGGGTGAACATGGCAGCCTTCTCTTCCCTCCCCCTCCTCACCCTAGGCCTGACTTTTATATGTGTATGTGTGTGGGGGGTTGATTTCTTCTTGTCAATCTGTAAACACTCTTTATATATTATAGCTACAGGGCTGCCGGTTAACTCACTTGGGTTACAGTGTGGTGCTGATAACACCAGGGTCAAGGGTTCAGATCCCCATACTGGCCAGCCACCAAAAATATATATATAGAGAGAGATTATAGCTATTAACTCTATGCTGTCTGGAGTGTGGCAAAATTTTCCCCAAGTCTTTTGTTCATTGTCTTGCAAAGGTTTTTAGGTTTTATGCAAATACATTTATCTTTCCTTTTTTTTTTTCTGGCAAGTGGTACAGGGATTGAACCCTGGACCTTGGTGTTAGCAGCACCAAGCTCTAACCAATGAGCTAACTGGCCAGCCCTCATTTATCTGGTATTTAACAGATTCTGGGTTTCCAGCCTTGGTTAGGAAGATCTCCAGGACCTGAGGAGGGGTGAGGTTGGGGGGTGGGGCTCCCTCCCATCTCCTCTCTGCCTCTCCCTTCCCCTCCTGTGCCTCTCTCCTTATTGCCAGCTTCTCCTTTGCCAAGGTCCTGCCTCCCAAGGAGGGGACGTGCCCAGCTTGGAGGCCCCCGCACCNATAACAGCTCAGTAGGTTACCATTTATTTTATAGATTCAAGATTTCCAACTTTGGTTAAGAAAGTCTCCTGGCTCCTGGGGATTGGGGTGAACGTGGCAGCCTTCTCCTCCCTCCCCCTCCTCACCCTAGGCCTGACTTTTATATGTGTATGTGTGGGGGGGGGTTGATTTCTTCTTGTCAATCTGTAAACACTCTTTATATATTATAGCTACAGGGCTGCCGGTTAGCTCACTTGGGTTACAGTGTGGTGCTGATAACACCAGGGTCAAGGGTTCAGATCCCCATACTAGCCAGCCACCAAAAATATATATATAGAGAGAGAGATTATAGCTATTAACTCTATGCTGTCTGGAGTGTGGCAAAATTCTCTCCAAGTCTTTTGTTCATTGTCTTGCGAAGGTTTTTAGGTTTTATGCAAATACATTTATCTTCCTTTTTTTTTTGGCAAGTGGTACAGGGATTGAACCCTGGACCTTGGTGTTAGCAGCACCAAGCTCTAACCAACTGAGCTAACTGGCCAGCCCCCATTTATCTGGTATTTAACAGATTCTGGGTTTCCAGCCTTGCTTAGGAAGATCTCCAGGACCTGAGGAGGGGTGAGGTTGGGGGGTGGGGCTCCCTCCCATCTCCTCTCTGCCTCTCCCTTCCCCTCCTGTGCCTCTCTCCTTATTGCCAGCTTCTCCTTTGCCAAGGTCCTGCCTCCCAAGGAGGGGACGTGCCCAGCTTGGAGGCCCCAGCATCCCCCTCTTTTCTCCCCAGCCTCTCCTTATTTAGAAAGGGGGTTGTTCCATTCCTTGTCAACTTTTAAGAGCTCTTCCTACTTAAATCTATTAACTCTGTGCCACCTGCTCTGTATTACAAATGACTTGTCATCAAGTCCTGTCTATTGACTTTCTTTATGATGTTGTTTGCTACAAAAAATCTTAAGGTGCTAACTTTTATACAAATATATACACCTTGTATTCATTGGTTGTGGGATTGTGACCTAGGTTAGGAAGGTCTCTCGGCTCCTGGGGGAGGGTATCCCCTCCTCTTCCCTCCTGGGGCCCTTATTTCACAGCCTCTTCCTTCCCACTGGCTAAGGGCATAAAAGCTCACGGGCCATGGACCCACAGTGTCAACATGTCCCCGCTGTGCCCCCTGCTGCTGGCCCTGGCCCTGACGGCCGTCCTAGGTGGCCGAGTGCCTGCCGGGCACCTGCCGACCTCAAGGATCCAACGGGACGCGCACATGCACCAAGCTCTATGACAGGAGCCACCGCTACTACCAGAACTGCTGTAGGGGCGCCGAGCTGTCATTGAAGCCAGACACCGACCTGCCCTTCCTGCCTTCCAATGGGGCAAACACGGCCTCCTTCCTCATGGTGGGCCAGCGCTGCAAGCTCACCATGTGGTCCCAATATGGCAAGGCTGGCAAGATGCACAAGTTCACGGCCGGCGCCTCAAGGAGTGTCGCTGGGGCATCTTCCGCCACTGGCCCAACGCTAACTCCGTGCTCTATTGCAGGCGCCTGCCCGCCCTCCAGGCTGACCCCAGCTCCCAGGCCACAGCCCTGCCTCCATCACAACCCCCCAGACCCACCACCCAAGGAAAGAGGCTTGTCTAGACCCCTGAGCCCCCGACTCAAACTGGGAGAATCAAACCTGTCTAGAACAAGTCCTGGAGTCCCCCATCTCAGAGTCCACATCCAAGCCAGGTCCTCCTCCTCACCCCCAGTCCTCCACCCCCACTCCATCCCGAAACCCATGCCCCTTGGATGTCTCAGCCACAGCCACAGGTGGAGCTCTCCCCCACCCCTTCCTGAATCCCCCACCTGCCCACCTACCCACAGCTGCACTTCCCACTACCTGGGGAAGAGGAGCTCATCAACTCTCTCACCACGGAGCCCCCAGAACCACAGCCAGCCCCGCCCCCTCCCCAGAACATCAGATCTGAAAGCTCCCAAACCCAACTCTGGGACCCCGAGATGCTAAAACTGACCCAGACCTCAAGATCCCAGACCCAATTCCGGGAACAGACAGTCTAGCCCTCATGCTCTCCATCCACCTGGACCCTCTAGATCAGCCTCAGCTCCTAAAACCAGTCCCAGAGCCCCAGACCCAGCCCTGCAGCTGCTGAGCCCACCCTGCACTCACATACCCAAGCTCACAGACCTGGGGCCCTAGATCCAGCTGTGGTGCCCTCCCAAACCTGCCCCTCTCCCCCAAGAGCACCAAGGGCCCCCAGCCTGAAACCCTCCCAGGCCAGGACCCCTAGCTCCTGAATTTTGAGCTTCAAACTCAGACTCCCCAGCCAGGCTTCTAGAACCCTCCACACCTTGGATTTCTGTGCCCCTGGCATCCCCCAGTGAGAATTTTTATTGTGTTTCAGGTGCTCCTGATGCCTTGGAGGCCCCTCATCTGCAACCCCATGCAGTGCTGAGCCCCCTCATCTGGCTTGTCCCTAGGGTCTGCTGCAAGTCCCAAGACCCAAGAGGAGAGAGCTTTCTGCCTGCTCCCCACCCTGCCTTCCCTGCAATAAGCTCTTGAGAAGTTATTCCTGTATGCCATCTGCTTGTGCTTGGGACCCAAGTCCTCACAGGGATGGGGGAGAGAGCAGGGTGGTCAAGCCTGCGTTAGCCCAAACCTGGGGCAATGCTGTGGATGGGGACATATCCATCGATTCTAAATTCACTGATATTGATTTAGGCATGCGCAAAGACACACACCCACAGAAAGGACGTGTGTGGTATGCAAGGGTCCTGCTGGCTGATTGTTAAAAATTGAAATGCTTCCCCACACTTCTTGGTAAATAGCTCTTCCCTGAGCTGTTCTGGCCTCCCAGGGCTCTCCAGACCCCTCATGATTCAGGTGTGGGATGGCAGGGGGCCTTCTAGGACCCTGCCCCAATCTTGGGCCAAGGTCTGTTGAGTGATCTGGCTGGAGCCCAGGATTTAGGAGTAGTTACTTTTAATCCCGCCTCCCCAACACATGGAGGACACTTTAGTTCAACTTTGTATATCTCTGTTCAGGTTACAGTCTGTGTCCCCACCTCCCCAGGAATGAGGGATCTTGATGGATACCTGGGTTTGAGGGCTCTGGGGTAGCTGGAAAAAAGACACAAAGGGTCCTGGGAGGAGATGTCTGGGGACATCTCTGGGGGAATGACAACTGGGAATGGTTGGAGGGAGCAGGGGAAATCAGGGAGAATCTGAGAGTTGAGAGAAGGGAGAAGAGGTAAGTGGAGATGCTAAGAGGCCACAGCTGAAGATGTGTGACGAGGTCAGAGGTCAAGGTCAGTGCCAGGGTCCAGCAGTTGTGAAAGTGCCACCAGATCAAGGATTCGAGGTTATGAGAATGGGATGTGAACTGAGTGAAGTTCTAGGGAGCAAAGGCCAAGGAAGCGCTCGGCACCCCTGGGCACATGCACTTATTCATTCACTCGATGAAGATCTGCTGGGCACCACTTTCTGCCAAGCACTGCATTTGGAAGGGGTGGCCCCTGCCCTCATAGAGCTCAGAGAGTGCAGGTGAAATACCAGAGTCAGCCATTCGAGGATGCTCGAAGATGTCAAATGAGAGGCCAAGGGCCGGGCAGGTTAAGGGTTGAGGGGGTAGAAAGCAATCAAGGAGGTGCTGGGGGGTCATGAAGAGAGTCAAGTGGTGCTGAGGGCCAGGGAGGTCTAAGGGTGGGGACTCTAAGGGTCAGGGAGATGCTATGGAGTCAGAGGTGCTAAGGGCTCAGGGAGGTGTCAAGGGGTGGGTAGATGAGACAAGGCTTCAGGACAGGCATGGAGTCAGCCAGTCACTCCCTGAACTGCACAGACACAGAGGAGTCAGTCACCCTTGTCCGCCACACCCCCCTGGGCTCCAGGCGGTTCTTAGTCTTGTGCAGGAAGTGGACGAAGCGTACGCCAGGGCCATACTGGCGGAATACGTGGGACACCTGTGGCAGCACGGGGTTAGGAAGGAGTCCTTACTAGGGTCCCGTGAACCTGCTCTCCTCCCCCTCCTTCCTCCCTCTGTGAGGTCTTGGGACAAGAACATACATCTAGGCATGCAGGCTTGGGCAGAGTCTCACCTGGACCCAGTGGCCAGGGGGACCTCTCCCAGAGGTCCGGGGGGCCACGTGATGCTGTGCGATGACTGTGCGGCGGTCAGCTGCCAGCAGCCAGACATGCAGCTCATAGACGCATGTGTCCAGCCGGCTGTCCTCGTACCTGGGGGTGGTGTCCAGGCCTTCAGGTGCCATCGCAGTCCTAATGCCCCTGTCCCAACCCCTGGCCCCATGCCCCATTCCACACACATTCACTGGCACCCACTCTGTGCATAGCCCTGGACCGGGTGGTGCTGGGGAACAGCAGTGACCAAGACAGCCCCACACCCTGCCCTCATGGGATTCAAAGTCAAGTGAAGGAGGCAGACATGTCAACAGGCAGTAACAGGCAGGTATGGTCAGAGCTGGGATGGATGAGGCACGGGCGGAGGGGTCGGGGCGGGGATGGGGCGGCACAGGCACGGGAGCAAATGCATCTGCCCCCGCTGGGGCGTGGCCAGGGGAGACTTCCTGGTGGGGCCATGTGCAACTGACTTCTAAAGGATAAAGAATTAGTCTTGAGACTAGAGGGCTACAGGCGTCCAAGAAAGAAGGAACAGCCTCAGCAATCCCAAAGATGCAAGAGGCCTGGTACTTTTCAAAAACAGAAAGACTCAGAAGGGGCTGGGGAGGTGGGCAGGGCTTGACCTGTGACACAAAGAAGGTCTTGGGGAGCTCAAGAGCAAAGGGGAACTCGGGCTGAGGCATGTGCTCTGAGGTGCGCTATGGAGTCAAGGGGTCAAGGTGGCAGGGCAGGGCACGCACCAGTCCATGACGGTGATGTCAGGCTGCTCATCGTCCAGCAGCTCCTCCCACAGGCCCTCGGCCAGGAGATCCACACACTGCTGCTTCACTGTCCAGCTGCCAAAAAGAGGGGCAGGAGAGCTGCGGTCTGGGACTCGGGGTCTTTGGGGGTCTCCCAGGCCAGCCTGGCCCTAGCGAGCAGGAAATCCTGATCTTAGGCTCTCTCGGTGACAACAAGGGCACCACATATGGGGTGCTGACTGCCCCAGAGCACCCTACAGTCTCAGTTCCCACGAGCCCTCCTGGGACGATGCATTCTGAACCCCGTGTTGCAGGTGAGGAAACTGACGATCAAGGTGGGACTTGTCCAAGGTCAAGCAGGAAAGAAGTGGCAGAGCCAGGACCCAAACCCGGGCATGGGTGACTCTGAGACACTGTTACACCATCTCAGCCACGGTGCAGAAGCAGGACTCAGTTTAGTGGAGAACAGGTGGTGGCCTAGAGTGACTTCCCCTCCGAGGGAGAGAGGTTGAGAATAACAATAACAAACACGGCTATTTATTGAACACCTGCTATGTGCTAGCCAGACCTGGCCCGACCCTGTGCTGTGTGTGTTGTGAGCAGTCTCTCTTATGACTAACCCAGAGAGGCAAAGTCGGTTTCTCCAGGCCCAGCAGCCGGGAAGGCTGGAGCAGGGAACGGAATCAAGCACAGGCCACACCGGCCCTGGCCACTCACCTGAGGTTCTGCTGGAGCTTTTCAGTTCTAATGTCCCATCCACGGAAATTGCCTGGCAGGCGGAGGAGCAAAGGGTTAGAACATCCCATTCTGGGGGCCCACTCTCCCCTCAGCAGCCCAGCTCCCAGGCACTTACCCAGAGTCTGCAGGGGTTGCTGGGTGGGACCAGTAGGGGGCGCTGGCTGATAGATGTTGATGCCTGCAATGCACGGGTGAGCGGAGCCTCAGGCCACCGCTGTCCCCTCCACACACACACCCCCCACTCCCTACCCCGAAGGCTACCCCGAAAGGGCAGGAATCCGTGTCAGGCCCGACCAGGAGGGAGGAGGGAAAGGAAGTCGTGGTGAGACAGACCTCGAGGGACAGAGACGGAGGAACCCAGAGAAAGAGACAGAAACACAGAAGAGAGAGACGCAGGGACAGAGACGGGAGCGCGAGAGCGGATACGACGTGAGAGAGACAGAGGTAAGACGCGGACGCCGCGTGCGGTGGAGGGACGCGGGGAGGGGGCGCAGTGACGGCGGCGGCGGCGGGCTCCCGGCT